CCGGAAAGGACAATAACGCGTTCGTTCCCCACCATAGACACCTGCGGTCCAGGGTTTTGCAAATATCTCAGCAACGTTGTTGTTGTATTTCGCTTAGTACCCTGCCGCGAAATTATAGTAGGTAGAAAATAAAAAGGTATAACATTCTAAATCCCATATTACGTTTGGTAGAATGTCTAGTCTCCTTCAGTGCTTTACCATCTTACTGTTGCAACAGCTTGTAACAGGTAAATGCCGAATCCCGATATGCGTCAGAGAGTACATCCACCGCAAGGCTCAGGCAGCATAAGGGATTTGACATTTGCATTTCGAAACCCAGCTACAATATTACAATATACCTATATGAGGGAATCGTTTTTGCGCTGGAAGAAGGACAATAATAAGACAACAAACCTCCTATCATTTACACTGTGTGACAATTTCTTCTAGTTGCAATTCATGCGCCTGCTGTATCTGATGGACGGCTAAGTTTTTCTTTCTGTTCAATGCGAATTGTTATCAACTTATGGCGGTTGATCTATCCTAGGCTACAGGAATAACTAAGATATATCCTCTTTAACGCCACGGCTCTCTGTGAGTACAAAGGGCAGTTAATCTTCTGAGCACTCAAGCGGAATGTAGCGACGCTACTACTACCTTTCTCATCTATATGCTTTTGGTTTCTTTTTAACCACTTCGCCAGCAACAGTTTTTGCGGCCTCACAAACAAACTCGTACGAAATGAACTTTTCTCTACATCACTTGCTGTGGAGAGGCGCGTGTGGCGCAGTGGTTGAAGGCGCCCTGTAATACACATGGGATCGGTTCTATGCCCAAACTCACCAAGCCCTCCATCCCTCCGGATTCGGCAAATTGGTACCAGACTTGTCTGGGAGAATAGCAGCGCTGGCTCGATACATAGGTAGTCTACCGCGAGTCATTATAAAGGCCAGATATGCATTCAATCACCTATAACGATGCTTAATGAAGTAGAATGCGTCCCTCAGGGATTGGTCGAGGTCAAGACCTTTATCCTTTTATTTTCTTGTGGAAAATAGGCTTTTGGTACGCAAATAGTGTGTAAGTCTATGTTCGATAAGCTATGGATAGAACACAAAAAGTGTTGCAAAGCACTTTTTGAAGTAAAACAAGCAACCAGAAAAAACTCGATATCAATTTACGTAGGCCGATTTGTGTCCCATGAATGGGTGGAAATTGTGTTACTATAAAGATGGAGAATATGGTTACAGAATTCATGACAGTGCGAGGAACCTTTAATAAACCTTAACACAAAGCGGGTAAATGTAGCCTGTGTATTGTATTCAAAGAGATTTCTTTTTAAGCAGTATTCTCTTGTGACTACTTTTTTTCAACAAACGGATCTTTATGAGAGCAGTATTGAGCAACATAGACACTTTGGGCAGTTACTAAACACTGAATCCATCCAAGCTGTCACGAATGCCTCGAACTTGACTGTTTGATTTATTACAGGATGAAGCCGAAGCAGTCATCAAAACCCTACGAACGAATCAAAATCGATCTGGTAGGTATATAGAGTTTTTTCGTCGTGAGGTTGGCTAATGTTCGAGAATGATTATTTTTCATACAGACATTTAGAATTAATAACGTGAAGTCGGACATTTTCTTTAGCAATAAACCTTGCTGTGAGCCTACGAACTCGTATATTAACATAAAAATGCTAGAGAAATAGAGAGATTCTGAAAACTTCCACTTGGTTTAATTTTTGTTTACTGCCTACTACGATTTTCACGGTGGGGTATTACGTAAAATCAACCACAACGATGGCGTGATATTCGCAAAACGTGGACCAGGGGCCAAATCGAACCACAATTTCCCTTTCCGGGGGCTCGTGCATTACACACTGCTTCGCGGAGGCCCTTGCTCTGCGTTTCTCTCAGCTGGTTTTCTATTTACCAATGCCATCAGCAATCATCCGTCGGCAGGATTGATCTGGGGAGCCCACATCGACATTGAACCCAGTTTTGCAAACTTTATTTGAGGAATGCAAAAGTGAGCGAAGGAAAATATGAACGAAAACAAGAAGCGGGAGTCTAAATTGACTTTATAATCTGGCTTATTTCATACTTTTCCAGGTGCAAACGTACTGAACACTTCTGCTGTCTCTTTGTCCCCTTCAACAATAAAGTCATCTTCACCAGTTACGCCAGCTCCACCACCTCCTTTCAAATTGTTGGAACCGTCAAAACCATCTAAGTTAATCAGCACGACGTTGGCAGCTCCTCCTCCACCACCTCCTCCACCTCCTCCACCTCCTTCAGTTAGTGAAGCTGTTACCGCAGCCGTTGTGCCTTCAGGTGCAGGTGGGGATGCAATATTCGATAGCAGTTGTTTAAAGATAAAATTTTTGGCTTTTGCACTGCTGAGGGATAAACTGATATTGGGTTGGTGTAGGAGTTCATGGTTTTCTTGAATATTGAAAGCGCATTGTCACAAATTCGATTTATTTAGTATGGAATATCCATAAGCCATTTGACCTCTGTCATTTTGGCAAGCTTATAGAAAGACAGCAGCAGCATCATTTACTGTATGTTCTAAGCGTTTTATGAAATTTTCAAAACGTTGGAGAATAAGGAACATTTGATAATACTCTGTTTCACTTTCGGAAAGACCAGCTGTATCACGCATGTAATGTGAGGGCGCTGAGAGAATGCGACAAAAGATTTAACGTGTAGCAAATGGTTCGAATGTTTGAGGGAACAAAATTTTGTGTCCCTGTTGAGCCCAAACATTTGAGATAGATCGACAGCAAGGAAGTTCTTTGTCTGATCGAGAGCCATCGAGAGAGGCAGAGATGGAGGAAGCGCTTGCTACTAACAGATGAACCGTCTAGAAGTGATTACGAAAGTTTGGAATGATCAGCTTAGGCGACACATTAGTATCAAATGTGTTTTCCAGGGCGCGCGTAGCGCAGTGGTGACGGATGCCCTGCATACACTTAGTCTTAGGTTCACTCCTTACCCAAGATAAACCAAGTTGTCTATCCGTCAGAGGTCAGAAAATTGACACGGCAATTCTCTATTTGGTGAAAATCACTGGCTTCATATACCGATAGTCATTTTATCGGCCAGATATGCATTCGATCATCTCAGCGACGTTTATGGGATTGAATTTTAGCACATCCCTAAGGAAATGATCAACACCGAACGTTCTTTCCTTTACGTTTTTACGTCTTCTAAAAAGATCTGACGTGCTGAACTATGCAGGTGATTCTGTTTTAATAGGATCAATTCATTTTTGGAAAACATGGTCACAGACAACTTTACGACCCTCATTGATGTGTAGTTTGAAAAGCGTCTCCCAACAACATGAACGAAACAAGTCATGTGTGAGCGGGATGAAGTTCAGCCTAACGTATCTAATTAAACTAACCAGTCAGCTGGAAAGGGTAAGGATTTTGAACAGCAACGGTGTTGTGTGTGTTTTTCTTTCTCGAAGGCGGAAGAGGAGAGAAAGGAGGAAGAAGAAGGGAATGCCGAAACGTTGGTCGCATAAGAACTTTCACAGCGACCTCGTATAAGCTGAATGATCTAGAAAAATATAGATTATTCATGCCGACGTTAAATTATGGTCGGTTTTAAAAATCAATGATAGTGTGTTAATCGCGATAGAGCAAGGCCGCACTTAGCTTCGGCCATCGGAAAAACTTCTGGGGCATGGTTAAGATGTCTTTCTTGTACGTAAGCCTTATTTCCTAAACCTATCATCCTTTTGTCGTCATCTGTTCGTATATATTAAGAACGTTTAAATTATAGAGGTTTAAAGATTTGCACCACAAGAATTTCACAAATTAGGAGCCTAGAGAAATTGCCTGTATCACCCTTTCGCTTCAAAACCGAAATTCTTCAACAAGCGTGTGATGTACAGTTATTGCAAGGACGGCAAAGGGTCTTCATCGTCACCAAATATTATTGAAAAAGAACTATTTTGTATACGGTTTTTTATAAAACGAATGTTTGCTCCAGAACATTTTTCAGTGGGATATACCATAGCACTTCTTTTTAGGACTGACACAAAAACAAAATGATCTGCCCGAATCCATGAAACCAACAAAAACACCAAGCGAAACGATGAAAATGAAGACAATCATGGTATGATTTCTACAAGCGCATTCTGTTTTGTTCTCCAGAAATAATACATATCTGTCTGGGCTTAACTATAACTGGTTTTCATCAAATTTCTTGACATGAGCAATGGACAAGGGATTGTTAAGTCTTTAAAATTCGTTTGTCCTTGAATAAATGGAAAATACATCCTTCGATCGTTTACCACTCTCCACTTTCAACTCTTCTCTGCAAAGTTCCACATTCGCTTTAGTCGGAACTCTTCAACGTTGTCGATAAGTATATCTTTTCAATGGAGATTTTCAATCAACAAGTGAACATCGTAGCACTTATTGCCGTAAATGCTTTTGTACATGCAGTTGAACTCCACACTAAACTCAATAGTCCTAAGAACCTCGAACGTTACTTTGCTCATTTTGCGTCGTACTTCGTTTGAGTTTCTCTCTTTTCCTTTCGTTTTTGTTCACATAATTCAATATTATAGTTGCATTTATCTCAGTGATTTTTTTATTCGATTCGTTTCCTAGTATCCATCGTCTATGTAAATCTGCGGATCTCACGTATGGACTAAACTGCGAAATTTCTACTCAAGAATCTGGTCTTCTTTGTGGATTTCGTTTAGTGATGGTCTCTTTGGAGGCGTGTAATAGTCGTGCTTTGGCATCCCAGTTTTACGCTTTGAAGAAGTAGAATGTGTGGCAGTCGAGTTTATCTGTATTCTGGTTAAAGGTCGAGAAATAGGGGAGAAAATAGTTTTTTCATAAATTGGAATCTTTATGATGAAAGAAGCTACAAGCTCTTGAGTGTAGTATAGTATTTACTACAGGGAGTAGAGTCCTTCTAAGAACCGTGGTTCCGAAATCATGGGCAATTTCTCCATTTTTAAATATGTTTCGGCTTTTCGACCTAAGTTGTATTTTCTTCGAATTGGCGCCATGCTAGCTCACTGGTTTTTGTTGAAAAGTTCTTCACCATGTTTTGTACCATTTTTTAATAATTCATTGCAGTGGTCGAAAATTCCACCAGCAACTATAGCTGCCGGGCAAGGATCGCAAAGTGTTTGGGGAGAACTGGCCAGAAAAAGCACAAGTACTCCTCTTTTTACCAATTATTCCATTCCGTGCTCTTCAACAACAACTACTGATCGCTTCAGAGATCGATTTGGATTATGATATGATCGACAGTATGTTCTCAATAACTCAGCAAACTCAACGGCCTTTGTCGGACATCCATCATACTCAGGTACAGAACTCCTTTTCTGTTATTCTTGTATCACTATTTATGTAGAAGTTTGGTTTTTCTTGTTACATTGCTACTGTTGTGTGATACCTACTTACTTGATATATCTATTTATGCGGTCTTATAAACTGATCTTCTTAAGCTGACGCGAGGTTGGCACAGGTTTTCGTTGTCGTTGTCGTTGTTCTTGATGTTAATGATCGATGGATGACGTTTCGGCGATTTCGCCTTCCTCGGAGCCTGGACGTATTTAATATTAGAATATTTTTATTATTCGGTGGAGAAGAAAGGTTAAAGTATTAATGAAGGCCAAACTTTCAAATAGACGCCATATTGAACAGAAAGGCCACTCACCATGGATTGGATAAATTTCAAAAATCCAAAGATGAACCAGAAGGACGAATGCCCTCACTATCACACGTGACCTGGCGCCCTATTTCGAAATGTTATTTTGATCCCTGGGTGTGCCTCGCTCGCGACCGCACGTGGGCAACGCGTGGGCCAGTCCGACTCGTAACATCACGGTGAGTAGGCTTTCTGTTCGATATGGCGTCTATTTAAAAGTTTGGTCTTCATTAATACTTTGGTCTTTTTCCCACCGAATAATTAAAGTATTCTAATATAAGAATACGTCCAGGCTCTGAGGAAGGCCAGGTCACCGAAACATCAGCCATCGACCAACAATGCCAACAACAACGACAACGATGGCGAAAACCTATAGCTACCTAGCGTCAGCTGAAGAAGATTAGTTTATAAGATCACATCAATAAATATATCAAGTATCTATGCCGAGGTTTATAGAAAGTCGGTCTTTCGAGTTACTTACTTGGTAATCACCATTTTTCGGAGACTTGTTGGTTAAGCCATTGTGGTTCCCTGGAATCCCGAGGACAGCCCGGCCAAAGTCTGCCCTAGGTCGTCATCACGACAGGCAGTGGCAGCTTTTGTGGATCAGAAGGAGATTTGCCACCATGCCACTAGCTTGTTATTAAGACGGTGGTGGATCCTAGTACTGGCTTACTCTTAGGTAGGCTTCTTGGTGAAAACGCCGGACTCCTTTTCAGCTTGCGAGACCTTGCCGGGGGGATGAATCGCTCCGCTATACGTCGCATCGCATTCCGACACCCAGGAATATCTCCCAGCCATTATGAGGCGCTGAACCGCTAGGAGGACTGTTGTGTGAATAAACTAGAAATGAGCAAATGTCTTTATCGCTATTATTCCTTCGTTGTTTTGGATTTCAACTGAAACATTATTCGTGTGGAATTTATGGAATCTTAATTGAACACAGAAAACTTCTTCACAATTGGGTACGTTCTCTGTTTATAAGAGGGACGTTGCACAGAACGTCGATGTAGGACGTGCGCTGTGGCGGCACAATAGTTGAACAATATTTCGGAACTTGAATAGCTTTCGCTCAATACGATTCGTTCATTCTTCAGAATAGTTTTCGCTTCACTCTGAGTGTTTTCACTATTTTTTCTCGACGTCAGGAGACACTCAGGCATTGGGAAGTTCTTGGGTTGTTAACACCGCAGTCAGCGGTTGTAGTGGGAAAGGAGGAGGTCTGCCGCGTTGTGAATGGCTTTTTTTCAGTACGTCCATACCTCAGATGACCTTGGAAAAGCCTTGAATGCTTGATCTAGAAAGGGTACTAATGAGGATCTAATTTTCAGACCGTAAAGAAGAAAAGAATGCTTGTCGATCTGCTAACCCCTAAGCGAAGTCAAAATGTCGCCATAACTCTCAAGCAATTCAAGGCTAGTATTTTCTGATTTTATTTTCGATTTTTTCTAAAAATGACACTCAAATATTCGCAAGTTTTGGACGAATTCTTTTATGAGTAATGAAGTTTCAGAACCCGTAGGCACTTGTCTTTATTTTTGTCATCGTTCTCTTCTTTTTATAAAATTGTTTTTGAAAAAAATTCCGCTCAATTTCCAGCACAAGTTGTTTCCCAAATATCTCAAAGGGGGAGTAGAATGTTTTTGAAGAGTGTGGAATAAGCAGTAGAAAAGTGTGGAGTGTTTGTAATATTCCTCTGGGAAAAATGAACCAGCATTTTATGAGCTCGTGGTGGATTGCATATGGATAAGTAAGTACAAAGTTCTCCTTCTCTGTGATTTTCGTTGGTTCATTTTCCAGAAAAACAAACAATGCTTGCAATATGACGATGAGTTATTTGCAAAACCTGGAGCGCATGAGAACTGACTGAGCGAAAGGCAAAACAAGAGCCTCAGTGGTGCCGTATTTAACACGTGAGCCCACGGAAAGGGTAGTCACGGGTTCGAATCTGCCTTGGGATCCAGGTTTTGCAAATGTCGCAGCGTCGTAGTGGCTGTATTTCGCATCATACCCTACCGTGAAAAGTAATAATAGGCAGTATGTAAAAAAATTAACAATACCTAATCATTTAGAAGCAGATTCATTTATGACCGCAAATGTAATCTGTAACCGTTTTCCATATAACCCTTCCTTGTCACGTCTGACATTCAATGATTCTGGGGAAGTAGAACACTGTGGAGCGTTTTTAACAGTATTGCGGAAAACATTCAGAGGTTTCGGGCTAGTCTAAATAACGTCTAAAGAAAGAAAATCCTACGGTGTTGTTATATGATCCAAACATTCGATGCATTGCAGCGAAATGAACCCTAAATTTCATGAATTGAGGGCACCGGAGATGTTCCCAGCGCGAGTGCCAAGACATTTCGAAACTTTCCAACTTTTAATGATAAACAACCTCCATGAATTGAGTGAGAAGAAAGAGATCGCTGTTGTAGGGCGTACTATGTGCTTATTTTGTCTATTTACTTGCTTGTTCTTTTATTTATTCACTTGGATCTGCTGCACATATTCCGTATTTGTCCCCACTTATTTCATTCGGTTCTTTGTCTCGCATTTGTCATTTAGGAAGGTTTTCAGATTTGCCTAAGGGTTCGGTTCAACTTTCACTCTCGACCTCTTCTCTAAGTTTCCAAGTCTTCACCATGGCTAGTGGCTAGCCTTTGTAAATCAATGGAAGTTTTCGCAGACAGGCCAAACTAGTAACTGGGCGTGTATTACTACACGGAGTCGCTAACCACTGCCTTTCTCATGTCCTTGCTTCTTTTACAAAGCAGCAAAAGCGACCCTTTTCTTGATGGGATCGTGAAATGCGTTGAACAGTGGATCGTAAACAACAATAGTGATATCCAGTGTAGTGTTTGTTGTTGTCCGTGGTCGGTAAAATGCACAGTAGCTTTCTAAATCCTAGCGAAACGATCGTAGAGGAAAAGCAGTACAACAAAACTGATCAAACGCTTTAAAAATGAGGCTTTCTTCAGTGGAAAGGACTATATCCTTTCCGCAACAACTTCCTAGCACACGTTGCGCAGTTAACCCAGCCGGGAGTTAAACAAGTTGGGCTACGAAGCTCTCATCCTCCACGATCATCGGACCTCTCGTCCACCAACTATCACTTTTTCACACACTTTAGCTCCACTTGCTTATAAAATGTTCAAGAACTTTGATCAGTGTCTTTGAAAGAATGTGTTTCATGCAAAAATCAAGTATTTTAGGCTAACGTGTTTGCTTCATATTGATAAGAATGAGTGAATACTAATGATTCTTATTTCGATTAGTGAAATTATGTTTGAGCCAATATGCCGTATTTCAAAATTGCTTTTCAAAATTGGCTGTTACTTTCGAATGAATCATTTTTGAACAAACAGAATTACTTGATCTAACAAATCCCTCTGGAGGTAGACTATTTGAAAACTGGTGGTTCATTGTCGACATACAAAATACGGGCAAAATATCTACTAAAACTGTTGTAAGGGTCTTGTTCACCCGAGTCCTAGGATTTTGTAATTAATACTATTTCTGGGAATGAGTATCATTGACATCAGTGCCACGAAAAATTAAAAAGGTAGATATATTTCGTGTAGAATCTGGACTCGGTCATTGCGGGCCTGCACGGTAATAAAGTGGAACAGTTCGATGTGGAGATGTTACGAACACTTAGGGCCATTTTGCCAGATTCGGATGAGGTAGGTTTGCTTTAGCTTAGTTCACGTTTACCAAATATGGAAGTCGGCGTCTTGTACTTGTGTTATTAATTGTGTTAGTATTGGTGCGCGTTTAGCTCAGCTTTCGAAGGCGCCCTGCAATACACATGGGATCGATCACTGTGCTCTTGGCCCACCAAGCCCTCTGCCCCTCGGGGCAGGCAAACTGGCACCAGATTTGTCTGGGAGGATAGCAGCACTGGCTCGATACATCGGTAGGCCACCGCGAGTCATTGTAAAGGTCAGATATGTATTCAGATACCTCCAACGATACTTAATGAAGTCGAATGCATGGCGCATCCCTCAAGGATTGATCAACGCCGAAAGTTTTATCCTTTATATATATATAGCTTTATCGCAAAATTTCCACGGCTGGCTTTCTATTAATCTTGGCATTGATCCAATAATCGCTGCACTCTTGTTCAGCAAACACATGGTATTACTTTATTCTTCATTGACGAAAAAGCTGACGTTTCGACGGATTCACTCCTTCCTCAAGGACTGGAAAGGTTAAGTTAACCGCAACCTACCACACCAAACACTCCCATAACCAAACGGAGAAAATGCTGAACCAAGATTTCAATCACCCTGAACACAGAATAGCTTCTTTGCACACTCACCGCTTTCTATTAGTCTTCCACTGAATATGTCACATTGAGACCAGCCGCATAGAGTTCACATAGAACTGTAATGTACCGTTCATGTTAGAATAGAAGCGACAAAAAAATATTATTGTAAAACATTTTGTCCCAATGCCGCAGGTAGCTCAGTGATTAGATGGGCCTTCCAATTCGTGGTCGCGCGAGGACTCCATGCCCCGGGTTCACCAAAACTTTCATCCCTCCGGAGTCGATAAATTCGGACTTGTCTGAGAAAAATAAGAGCATTGACTTAATGCGTCATTAGGTGACAATGAGTAATTGCATAACCCAGATATGCATTCAATTGTCTTTGATAATGAACGATGAAGTCGATACGTCCCACAGGGATTGAGCAACGCCGAAATGTTTATCACTTTTTTATATTATCCCATTACTTACATCAATAGTGTATCCTTGGCTTTATTCTTTACTCTTTCTAACGAGGAAATTATAGGTAGCTGATTATGCTGCGCAGTAAGAGGGAAGAGGGAGGTTGTTTTTCGGGTTCTTTTGTCTGAGGTTCTGCTTCTTGGAGGTGATCTCGATTCTACCCTCCTGCAATCTCCAGTCACTTAATTCAGTATGTCAGGCTAAGTCCTTACGCAGGATAATATCGGCATTAGCATGGAAGGCATTATCATTATCTTATCATTACCATTATATGACATCATCATTAACATAGCATTATCATCATGTCATACATGGACACAGCATGGAAGTAAGCAGGGAGAAGCTGTGAAATTTTATCAGTCCTGTATTCCTAAAGTTTGTTTTCATTTTCATAGTTGCTTAGTAGCAGTGTCCTACTTTGCTGACCTCCTGAACATACACATCACGAGAGCAGGTGATGATCACATATTCGGTGTAACATTCGTTGACCTTTCGCTGATACTCCTCTTATTAGCTCTCTGCTACCCGTCAGTTTAAATCTGTCTTTAAGGATGGCAGACAAACTTTTTGACGCTGGTTAATCCCTAGGAATCTACGGTGTGTTTGATTTCAAAAATCACTAGAGAGGCTACTGAATGGAAATTTGCCTACATAATGAATAACACAATGAATAACAATGAATAATAACTTATGGGAACCCATTAGTGTATCATGTCCGTGTTTTTGTTCGCCCAAACCTGTGCGTTAGCATTTTATCGATCTATGGGCATGGAAGGTTTGTTTTGCCGAGGGCGAGGGATTTAGCCAAGAACGAGGTGTCAATTGTTCGGCATCTCTAACCACTGTGCTACAAGTGCTCCATTCTCTCTCATGAGTATTCTAATCTAGTTAATACGACACGAACGGTATAAGTCAATGTCCGTCTCATATTTTTTATTGTTTGTCAATCTTAGTGTGTAAAGGTTGTTTCACTGAATAAGTGTGTTTCGGGTAATCATAGTTTAGAAAATATAATAATAAAGGCGACTCTATAGGTGAACACACTCAGACGTTACACTGGCGAAATCTCTCAGTTGACTCCAACATGCTCGTTTTTACTTCGGTTACTGGATGTTCCGGATTATTGTCTTAGGTGTGTACGTTCTTCCAGTTTCAACTGTTCACTTATCAGTTTTTTATTGAAATCTGAGTAATAAGCCAGAAAAAAGACGTTTCGGGAAGTGTATTAATAGAAAATGTAATAGACACAACAGATGTGTAGTAACAGCTAGTGAGAAAAAAGTGAGAAAAAATTTACAAATGGTCCGGTTTCAATGTGCCGGTGATGAACTTCTAATGTATTCTAGTTCAATTTTTTAGAATTGACTGCATGATGCTGCGCCTCGAGTTTCATCGAACTATGGAAGAAATCGTTCCCGGCATTCATCTTCTCAAAGAAGCAGCTAAAGGTGAAGCTCTTTCAATAACTACATACCGGTTTTCGTTCTTATATACTTTAATGCTTATTGCTCCCTCTTCATAAAAAATGATTTGTCGCAAGGGAACTTCCACTTGGATCTTACTCTGCTGCTTGGGGAACTATTTTTACTTAAAGTACAGTGATAACAACATGAGCGTATTTTAGCGCACCTTCGCTGTCCTTTCTTAGTTTGTGCTAAGCAAAAAGTACTTTTAAGAATTCAATGAAGAGTGATGGAGATAAACTGACTAGTTGAATGTTATGCTTTTTAGAACTGCAAGGTTCGAATGCTCTTCGTCGCCTTCTGCTTCTTGTTGTAAACATCGGCAACTACATTAACGGCACATCTACCCATGGTTGTGCGGCTGGCTTCAAGTTAAGCTCATTGTGGAAGGTGATCGACCATCGAGCCACCAAAGGCACCTCATCACTTCTTCACCTTCTTGCTAAGGTATGACTATCTGGTTTCTATTGAAATATAATAGACGTACCCTCACTAGTAACGCCATCTTCGAACGATGAACTTGTGATGTTTGAGGTTATGACTTTTTCAAAAGATTGAAAAAATGCGATGTATAATCATTCATTTTTTCACTTCAGATGGATCCGCCTTTGCTCAATGAATTGGAGCACGAGCTTCCTAGCATTAATTCCGCTTCAGAGTATGTTCTATTACTTAGTTCTTGTTCAATTTTCGATGAACGGAGTAGTAGAACTCGATAACTGCCAGTGCGCAAGCAGTTATTTATACCTTTTGCATTTAATTAAGCGCAATTCATTTTCAATAACTACGTACACTGGTGGTGTAGGTTGGATTAAACACGGTTTAACTCTAACCACATGATTCGTTAGGACAAACGCCAGTACCGCATTAGAAATTTTTTCGATCTGCTAGAAAAACCATGGTCTCTGAATTGCATAGCTACTGAAGAGGAGACTCCATTATTCTTCTTAAACAGTTATTCTTTGAATTCTGTTGCTGAGCGAAATTTTGTGAGGTGACGAACGCATGAATACGGCTACCACTATCAATATTGCCTCGTATCAAACGCCTTCAACTTATGTGAGATGATTTTGGACCTGGCTTTACGTTTTTGGGAAGGCCATATTTCTTTTAACCTCACCCTGTTCTTTATCACATATTGTGTGAATCCCAACACTTCTTGCATTCATTTTGTTTCCTCGCATCCATCATCTTCGACAGATGTTTTCTGTAGATCCGACTACTGCTTGGAGAGTTTTGGTTCTGAGATCGAAGGGAACTTCTACACAAGTTTGCTGTCAATTCACCGACGCCGGAGTATTGGGAGGCTTTATTGGTCTGATTCAGGGATAAACCACTTTTTTGTGCTTATTAAATGGCATCACTATCACTTCTGTACTAGCTCTGCAAAACTCATAACATGATTGTTAATTCCATGATTTTGACATCTGTCATCTTAGGACTATTTACATTAATCCTAGTAAATCATACAACTCGCAGCCTAGTTCCAACCATTTCGTCCTTTAACGACCAACACCTGTGCTGACCATATGTTTCATGCGTGATGATGTCTATGGTGATATTATTCTAGACTGCTGAGTAAGCGAAAAAAACTAGTGCAAAAGGATTTATTCGGCTAAAGTTTCGATGTCTTCGTCTTAATAGTTGGATTGATTTGAGTCGATGGTCCACATATAGTCGTCCTCATTATGCAGGTGTTCGTTATCACATCGAGTAGAACCCAGTAAAGTGGATCACCGCTCCATTGATGTCTGTGAAGAAGGTTCCATGATTCATGGGTCGCTCACAGCTTCACAGACAGCTAGTTAATTTGGATAACTGACACGTGCACTCATCATGTATAGGTGGTTTCATATAAATGTGTGCCTCCTGTTGAAAAATGCATTGTTTTCCTCTTCCACTATGTTGTCGCTTATTCCCATTAGATGGTCGGTGCATCAATGTTTTGCTTTGGAGATGCATCTTCCCGTGTTTCGAGGGCTATAATTCTCGAGGATCTCAACTGCTTGAACTCGTGTTCGACGCGAAGTGTACCAATTATATTTCAAATGACATCGTTTCAATACTTCATGATCGATAGATTTGCCAAACATAGCTGGAAAACCTATTGAAATCGTAGAGGCTAAACAAAGACAGAGGTTCCGGCGTTAACCAACCTATAAGTGGAGCGCCATGTATTCGACTTCACCAATCATCGTAGAGATGATTGGGTACCTATCTGGCCTATACAAATGAGATGCGGTGGCCTACCGTTAGTACAAGTCTGGTAGTAATTACCCCACGCCGGAAGTATGGAAGGTTTGGTGAGCCCAAGGCGAGGGATCGAACCAGCGATTGATCCAGTGTGTATTGTAGACACCTCTAACCATTGTGATACACACGCCTGATTGAAGTGTTATCAGGTGCAATTGCTTAAGTCTTACAGTAAATTGTGTAAATATGAATTGAACTGTGTGATTTTTATGAACAAGGAAGTCAGTGGTTCAGGAATTCAGTGGAAGAAATTAAGACAAGTCTTCGTTCGCTTGGAGAGAAATGCACCACTCTCGGCAAAGAGCTGAAGAAAATACAAGGCGCCGAGTTTGAGGAAATCAGACAATATCTTGAGGTCACTGCGCAATTCCGTCTTGTTTATTTGAATTTTACCTTAGACTTTAGAAATTTTCCGGATATTAGCAGATTTGTCGAAATTCTTTTCTCTGTCGATTTTTAGTTCAGGTGCATAACCGATTGAATATTCTTCAACCTGTTCAGTTCTTTTTTCCAAAGTCAGATGAGAAACCGATGTGCTTGATACAACTTTTCTGTTTGAGTATAACTAGTAAACTTCATTTTTGGAAAAGCTCTGATGAAAACGTATGAATTTGCCTGTGAGTACTATTTCATCATACCGTCAGGCGAACTTTATCATGTTTTACATCCTAAAGATCGAGTAAGGTCAAATTTATCCTTTTTCGCTCTTTTTAAGTATGGATTTCTTTTAAGACAACGCTTCTCCAGTATGTTATATTTATTTCGTGAAAGCATTTTTCCAAGAAAATTATTGGCTGGTTGAATATGTCAATAATATTTTAGGCCCGATTGTAACTACAGTATCGGTTTTTTCAAATCACTTCTATGTGGGAGCGTTTTAGGATCACTGTTATGCCGAATTGGAGGTGACAAATGGCTCATTGAAAGAAATGCTTAGAGCTGAAGACGAACTCGCAATTTTCTTTTGCGAGAACAAGTCGTCATTTAAGATCGAGGAATGTCTTAAGGTATTCAAAAACCTCGTCACTCGACTACGACAAGCGGTTCAGGTACATTTTAGAGCAAGTAGTTTCATTCATTGTTCATTATTAGTCTACTTTTCGTTACCGTGCTTATTTAAATACTTTAATCTCATATCTTCATGGAGAATCGATTGGATCCCTTTATAGGTGCCATTTAGCTGACCGGGTAAGATATAAGGATTATCATCCAAGCTGCTGCCACAATAATGCTCCAGTCGTTGTGATTCTAAGGAAGATTTGCGGCATTGTGGCGATGTTTTAACAAGACGGTGATGATTTCTGGCACAGAATACTTCTAAACGAGTTCCTGAGTGGTATTTTCGAAATGGTTCCAGCGTGGCAGGCGACACAAAGTAGCATCTTCAAGTAGCGATACACACAAACTCGTGTTGACGAGAACGGTGACTCCGCCCACTCCTCTATTGTCGCATGTTCCGAGGAAAGGTCTTCTTCGGTGTCATAGACAGCGTTGAATGGGTTGCATTATCTTGCCTCGGGCAGTACGATGACGTCGAACTTTGTCCTTCTTGATAACTCAAAAGACCGACTTTCTATAAACCTCGGCATAGATAGTTGATATATTGTTTATATGATCTTATAAACTGATCTTTTCGACTTGATGCGAGGTTGGTATAGGTCTTCGTTGTCGTTGTTGTTGCAGTTTGGTGTTGTTGGTCGATCGCTGAGGTTTCGGCGATTTCGCCTTCCTCAGAGCTGTGGTTGCACTCGTAACATCACGGCTCTGAGGAAGGCGAAATTTTTTTCTACTTCTTTCGAATTTCTTTTAAATTTTTTCTTAAATTTAAAATTTCTTTCAAATTTTTCGAAAATTTCTAAGAAAGAATTTTTACCATCTTAGGAAACCAGCTAGGTTTTAGGTAAGGAAAAATCCAGAGATAGATGAGATTTTGCAGCACAGTTTCTTCGATGGCGAATTCTCTGCAGTCTAAAATTTATTGAATATCATGATTTGACGAGGAGAACCATTCCAGCTTGTTTAGTGGTACACCAAAGATAAAGTGTTTTTGCAATGAAAACAGGTATTTTAGGAAAATGAGGAACAAGAGAGGCGTATTCTGCGAAAGGAGAAGAATAGAATGGTGGAATGCGATGAAAATAAGCAAAAAGCGGAATCGGAACAAGGAGCAGAGAGCTTTTTTGCCTTTCTCGAGAAAGGGCATAATGTTCAGTGAGTGCGAAATTAAAACGGCGTATTCTTGCCAGGTTAAGTTTAGGTTATAAAAGAGATTAAGCTCACCTTGTGGATATAAACAGAAGGCCATCTCCACCATACAACGAAGGCATCTATTTTTTTTTATGAAAATAGATTTTCGTCTACAAACGATTGATTAACTACCATTTGCAAGTTTAGAGACATTAAATTCTAGACGTGCTGCAGTAGGTTTATGCCAGCATATTATTCGAGGAATATTTCATTGTCCATCATTCGCAGTTTTCGCGGCAAAGGTCTGCATTAAGATCTATTATGGTGACATAGGTATTACGAGGAAATTGCTTTGATTTATTTCTTTAAATCCTTCGGCTTACATGAGGTTGTTATATACCTTTTATTCGGCTGAAGTCTGAACGTTTTTGTCCTCTTCAGAGCCGATTGATCCCAGTCGATAATCCACAGTTGATCGTCCTTGCTGTGTTAGTCTTCGTCGAATCCTCTCGAGTGGTCCTCTCGAATCCCACCGTTCTAATGAGAGGATCTCTCTTGCTGTTATCATTTTATAGAGAATAATTGTTGGGTAATACTTATTGCCGACGAGAAATAATTTTAGTAATACCGTCATGACGACGAGCAACTGCGGACCACCACCTAAAATCAATCGGCTCTGAAAAAGACAAAGACGTCAAAACGTTAGCCCGAAAAGGGTCTATATAGCAACTTCATGCAAGTTGAACAATCGTAAGAATTATATTGATTATTCACACCGACGCTAATCCAAAGGTCTCCATCTTCGTGGATAATGGTTGTGAAGAAATGCAAGAATAGAATCTGTGCTGTGTACCGCAGAATATATGATGTTGGGTTATCCAAAATAAAAGAAGTAAAAAGCTAGAATCATAAGGAAGCTGAGATATGAGCAAAACTTGGAGCCTCAGGTTGTTACATTTGTATTATCAGCAGGAAAAAATAAAGTGGAATAAAAAAGTGAAAAAGAGGGTTTAAAACGAAATGTAATGGAAAAGTTGGTTAAATTGCAAGTTTTTTAAGAAATAGGTTTGCTTTTGATGCTACATGATTTCAACTTGAAACAAGAGACCTGCATCAAAGCATTGAAATTATCCTAAGATCCAATGTTTTTCATCAATAAGCAGACACGAGGTTGTTAGTATAGAATTTATTAGAACACAATTGCTGACGTTTCGGCGGTTTCGCCTTCTTCAGAGTCTGGAAAGGTCAAATTGAGATGTGATCTACTCAGCCAAACACTTTCATAACCCTAGCAGATAAAACTTGATAAATCGATTTTCATTCGCAGAAGAAACAGCTTCATTCAAACACCTACCGTTTATTTGTTGTAAGTATTTAAGTTAGTTAGTGGATAGCCGCCGCACAGAGTAATACATGGTCGATAACTGGGTCCATGTCAGGTCATTGGATCAGCCTGAGGTATGGCGCTAGGTCACGCGTGATGACAAGACACTCCTCCTTGCGGTTCATTTTACGCATGAATCGAAAACATCAGCGCGAAAAACTCTTGAAGCGTTTTGGATCAATGCCAAAAATTCAAAAATGAACCGCAAAGAGGAGTGTCTTGTCATCACGCGTGACCTAGCGCCATACCTCAGGCTGATCCAATGACATGACATGGACCCAGTTATCGACCATGTATTACTCTGTGCGGCGGCTATCCACCAACTAACTTAAATACTTACGACAAATAAACGGTAGGTGTTTGAATGAAACTGTTTATTCTGCGAATGAAAATCGATTTATCAAGTTTTATCTGCTAGGGTTATGAAAGTGTTTGGCTGAGTAGATCACATCTCAATTTGACCTTTCCAGGCTCTGAAGAAGGCGAAACCGCCGAAACGTCAGCAATTGTGTTCTAATAAATTCTATATTAACAACCTCGTGTCTGCTTATTGATGAAAAACATTGAATTATCAATTAATGCCGAGGTTAACAGAAAGTCGGTCATGGGAATATCCTAAGATCTATTTTACAAAGATCTGGATGCGTGTAAAGCCACTGAAATTTTTTTACTAGGAAGGATTCCGTTGAGTACCTCGGGAAGATTTTTTTTTGATGTGGTGAATGGTGTGATCAGAAATAAACCTATATAACGGGATATTTAGTATCTTATTTAGTATATTAATATCTATTAACGTTAATAGCGGAAAAATTCAGTACACGACGACGTATAAGAGTAGGTGCAATCGAACCGGAAAGAGATCGAAAAGCAGGAAAAAGCCCGAGCTTGCCGAAAGTGGTAGAATCCACCAGGACTGATGCGACATTACATGACGAAGAAAAATCCAAGCAGGTAGTGTCTGGAATTGAATCTCGAAAGCTAAACGATTTATTTCGGTCTAAAATGAGTTTATCTCTACGAATTTCGTTTCAAGGAAATGATTTTTCCATCAACAAATCTACGAATGGCTTTATTCATGTGTTCTAAGGTAATAGGTTCGTGTTATACATCCGTTATTGTGTAATGAACATAAAACGCTGCAGTAGTAAGGGAATTTTAACGAAAAGGACTAAATTTTTTCTCTTTTACATTTTTCTCACTTATTGTTTTCACTGATCCTATCAACAAGAGCATGGTGCTAGTTCGATTCCTTTCCCGGCCAACCAAGCTCATCCTTCCGTGGTCTCAAAATTGGTACCGGACTTGTCTGGGAAAAAATCACTCTCTGCAAGCCAATTGGGAACGCTCCAGCCAGGCTATCTTAGGACTCCAGGGAGAATTGCTCGACTAGCATTGTACGACATTCAACATGAAATGAAAATCCTAAAGCGGCAACCGAAGCCAAACGTAAAGTTGAGAAATCTTTGTGGACAATGGATGCGAGGAAACGAATTGAATTGGGAAGTGCTGGGAACCGCACAGTAGACGAGAAGATGGGTCAAATAAAAAAAAATAAAGAAGTCGTTTTCGTTGAATGTTAGACATTTATTATAAGAGGATTTCCGTTCAAGACTTCTTTACTTGTTTAGACTTCGAACGCAATATCAGCAAGCACTACTCTGCGGAATTCGGATTTTTGTGCTGGAGTGTTATATCTGAATGACTATGTAGAGATACTAGAAAAACAGGTAACTTTAGAATCTCTTCCCACTTCGTTATGATTAGAGTTACCCTAAAATGGATAATGGTTTCTTTGATTTGACCGCTCATGCAGAGCGAATTAAATTCCTTCATCCTTTTGGGTTAGGCAAGTTGACATCGAACTTGACTGGAAATATAAAAACACTGATTTGATTTCTATATTTGTGATATACCACGAGTCATTGTGAAGGTCAATAGTGCATTCATTCCTACAGTCATTGGTGGAGTTTAATGCGGAGCATATCTAATCCTCAAGGGTTGATAACCGCCAAGCGCTTTATCCTTCCTATTTTTTACGCTTTATAACCCTCCTTAAATTAACGGGTTTATGTCGTAAAAAGAAATAGGAACGGAAGTGGACATTCATCTTTATGGTTGACTGCCTTTGTTTTTACAGCTACCGATGACTACCATTCGTCGATCCTGCGCTCAAAAATCGAAACTCTCATCACTTCTTCCTAAAAATGACCAGGAAGAAATCGTGGTCAACATCCCGTCAAATACTGGTTGGAAAACATTGATCTATACGCAAAAGAATTTTAACTTCTTCGAATGACTTGTCTGAATTTGGTAATAGGTTTCGATACTTTCGATTAGCTGCTACATTTTCGTAGCGTTCCCATTATTTGTCAAACCTTATTAGTACTAGGGCTTCTTTTTCTTCTGCGTCTATATGAGCAGGTCAGTTTGTTAACAAAGCTTTTCAGACACTACCATGGTCACTGCTGAGTCTTCTCCAAAAAGCGCTTCAGACGAAGGGTTCGAATCTGAAAAGGACAAGGAGAATTCCATTGTACTTTATAGGATTTTGTTATTATCACTTGAAATGTTATCATTCATGGAATTCTATTTCAGGTGAATTTGCCCACAGCTTCGACTACAGACCAGTCCTTTTCTAACAAATCAAGAGATTCCAACGCTGTGTGTACTTTGTTTGTGAATTTGAATCTATAGAAGATTAATAGTGCATAAGTTTGCGATTCAGAATTTTGAACGAGAGGGCCATAGCATGACATTGCTTTGCATAATTTTTTACATGCTCACTACTTATTTTTATTTCGGTGGTTCTAGATGTCGGTGATCCAGAAGCAATCGTGTGCAGCCTAAATCTGGAAGGACTAAGATGATGGACTATATTTATAACGCACGCACATTATCATCTGAATTCTTCATTGAAGGGTTGATGATGCAGACCAATGAGATTAACTGCAACTGTGGCATCATTATACTGTCCAGCAAGAGAACACCTCAATTAGTGGATGTCGTCTATAAATCTGGCGAATAGCTGCTTTGGAACAGGCGACAACGCAGGAGTGGGCATTGTCGCATGGCCTCCTCGTCAACCAGAATTTGGCCAAGGGCATTGATACCTTTTAACAAGTAGCAACATATATATCTATATACATGTTCTTACGAACTACCATTTTTTAGCTGATGCGAGGTTGGTATAGGTGTTCCAATTGTTGTTGTTGTTGGCTAATAGCCATTGAACAACGACAACAACAATAAAAAGAACACTTATACCAACCTTGCATCAGCTGAAAAAGAGTAGCTCGTAAGAAAACATGTATAGATATATCGATTATTATGCCGAAGTATATAGAAAATCGATCTTTTGAGTTTTTAAGTAGCAACACAAGTCGGACGCTTACGGTTGAAGAGATATGGACCAATACTGACTTTGACTGTATACGTCACCCACATCAGGCCATGACGATGACACTTTTAAGGCGTTCTATATGGTCGTGGGGAGGTTGTCCATGAGCGACCACGTATTCTATAAGCCCTCACTGTAGGCAAAGATTGGACTCAGAAAAACGTCTGAAAAACCTCATTACGATTTACGGATTGATTGGAATTGAATGAAGAAGGCAGGTGTTTGAGTTTATAAGGACGATCAAAGC